AACCAGAAAAAATCTGCCTCTTCCTTCAGACTCCCTCACAGAGCCCCTCATCCAACACACACAAACGCGCACGTGACCAATGAGGGCACGAGATAAGTTTGTGCACAGATGGAAGGCTGACAGGCAGGTAGGCCATCCAGTTATTTTAGCCGGGCCGGCTCAGATGATTGGTCGTGCTTTTTAAAGTACTACGGATTCCACAGATGAAATGTTTTTATGTATTTATTGTCAAAGCATTTAATATATTAATCGCTATCGGGATGTTAAGAGCATTCCATGGAATATAACAAAAAGTGTTTCTGAAGTGAATTACCTACCCCACCTTTAAGTATTTTTTGGGGAAAATATGTGCATTTTCATCCTAAAATATTTGCAAAATGTTATTTAAGTTCTTATAGTTTTGCCGAAATGCACCGTGGCTCAGTCCCAGCTGCAAGAGACACCTGTAGTCCCTTTACGCTTGTCATCCCCTCTATCTACCCAGGGCCGCCCCTTGCCAACTTGTGGCCCCACGCAAAGTTATATGATGAGGTCCTCTGTGTCGCGAGCGTCGACGGGGGCGGGGTGTGTGTGTGCTAGTGGAGCCTCTGTGGCGCGCTTACACTGTAGGTGTGCCGCATTTGCACTTCAGATGAGGCTCCCTCCGCAAAATGAAGAACCCTCTGCAAGATGAGGCCCCCTCTGCGAGGTGAGGCCCCACGCAGTCTGCGTGATCTGCCTGAAGGGAGGGGCGGCCCTGTATCTACCCCTTTCAAATCTACCACTCTGATAAAGGCTAAAAACCAACCAAAATGTAATCTTTTGAAAAAATCAGATTAATGTCACAGATTTTGCCATCATTCATTTTGGTTATGTTTTTTCTTTGATGTGAGAAGAATCACATTGTGGCAGAATATGGGCTGAATCAGTAGACTTTACACTGAAATGATATTGAGTAAATGATAAATAATTATAAGCACAAACACGCACCTCTGTAGCAATCCCGTTTGAAGTCGTAGATGGTGCAGAGGTACCCGCCCTGGCAGGTCTTGGCCTGGCACACGGCGCCTGTGCTGGTGCATTGACAGGTCTCAGAGCAGTCCTCAGTCACAAACTTCTCCCCCAGCTGCAGGAGGGAGGGAAAAGAGTTGAAATAAAATCACATCATGACATTGTGACACACAGTGATTATACCTCCATAAGGCCTCTTACAGTGTAGTATCTGTTGAGGAAGGTGCAGCCACACTGTGTGTACGGCACACAGATCCCCTCGCTCATGACGAAGCCCGCGGCACACTGGCACCCCTCCACACAGGAAGTGGTGTCACACTCAGAGGGTGCTGCCAGGTCGGCGCAGGAGGCGGGGCAAGGGGACATACAGGTGGTGTAGGAGCTGTTGGCGTCACAGGAGAGGGCTGGGGGAGAGAGATAACACAACACCATCTCGTGTGAATTATTGTGTTTTTTATATTGTTTTTCATAGTTTTTTGGGGGGGAAATCCATGTACAGACTGTTGAAATCAGCTCAAGTTGTGGTTGCATTTGATCAAATTCACATAATTGCAGTGGTGGCAGAAGTACTTAGATTGTTTACTTAAGTAAAAGTATTAATACTACAGTGTAGAAATTGTCCGTTACAATTAACAGTCATGCAATGAAAGTGTAACTTAAGCAAAAGTAAAAAAGTAAACATAAATAAACTATATTAACCTGCAGAGTAACTAATGATGTCAAATAAAATAAGTGAGTACAAAGTACAATATTTGCCTCCAAATCGTAGTGGGATAGAGGTATAAAGTAGCATAACATGGAAATACTCAAGTAAAGTACAGGTCATTTAAATAAGGACTTAAGTACGGTACTTGAGTAAATGCACTTAGTTACTTTCCACCACTGCATAATTGTGACTTAAACAATTATTACCACACAGCTACTCTACTCTTATTGACTTTCATACATTACAGACAGTATTATGTCTGTGACAGATGGAAGAATGCATCAGAAGCAACTATTCCCAAACAGTCAGTGTTACATGAGTCCAGGTCCAAACAAAGTCCTCTTTCTACCATGCGTCTGACACTGAGACCCCTCTGGTGTTCCCCCATGTTGTGAATGCAGGGTGACTCTGTGTGTGCTCAGCCTCTCACCACAGCCCAGCTGCTGCCTCCAGGAGCCCAGCTTGACTCCGGCCTCCTGACAGGTTGCTACGTACGCCTCGTAACTGGCACAGCGCAGCGCCGCACTGCCCTCCTCCGCACACAGGTCGAACACACAGTCACTGCAAGCAAACACACACACACACACACACACACACACACACACACACACACACACACACACACACACACACACACACACACACACACACACACACACACACACACACACACACCGGTGTGAGCAAATCCAGCCGACTTACAGAGCATTAAACACAAAAACTGTACTGTAACTCTCTCCGGTTCCACACACTCCACAGAATACTCACTCCTGGTAGCTTTTAGGTGGCAGGGCGGCATGGCAGACAGCAAACGGGCCCTTAGAGTCAGACAGCGCTCCACACTGAGCTGCACTGTTGTAGTTATCGAGCTGAGCCTTAGTGCAGTCCGATGTCTCAAACCCTGAGTCTGGATCAGTCTCCACCTCTCGTCTGGAGACAAATAGCCAAAAGGATGGAAAGATAGAGGACAAAGAAAATAGTTATGGCAAAACAATTTTTCCTTTCCATTTTTCCTTGTCCGAGGGTCTAAGGACAGAGGCTGTCGTATTCATATTAACTGTAAAGCCCCCCTGAGACAAATGTGATATTACGTTTTATAAATAAACTTTGAGAAATATTTAAGGTGTCCCGATATCTGTATACCAGATTACCACAAAATGTGGATAGAAAACCAAGGTTCAGAGATTATGAAAATGTTTAGGTATATTTCATACCCAACATAAAGACCCTCACCTGTTGTACAATGTTAAAAAATAACTTTTGATCATTTGTCTTTTCTATAAACGTATTCAGTAACTTCTTAAAGTGTTATATTGATAAATTATTAACTAAGAGGTTATTACTTAGGTAGCGCAGACCTCTGCCAAGGCCTTTTCGCAAGCTTAAAATGTATTTGAGAATCCTGCCGGTGATTTGGATCTCCTCAAAATGTTTACTGATTCTTCCTATCCCAATGCTACACCTTTCCGTCCATAAACTACCACTTATTTAAAGTCAAGAATGTATCCCCATTTCAGGAACCTTGGTGTTTTCCAAGTCAGTCAACATCTACAGCTTAAGAAGGTGTATTTACAGCTACAGCAGTGACCCTGGTGGTGGTCCTACCTGTGGATGTGGACTGTCTGAGGAAGGTTGGAGATCTTCACTCCCTCCGCCTGTCGGTCACTGACCCTCCAGCTCTCTCCAAAATTGTTCAGGTTCCTGACCACTGATCCGTCTGGCTTCATGTACTCGTTCCTGGTGAATCCGTCGTAGTTTCCGCACAGCCCTCTGACGGAGTTCTTATAGGTGCTGGGCAGAATGATCTCTGATACAAAGAGAGACAGAGGAGGGGGTTCAGTGGATTCACAAACAGGCCCAGTCTGTCACTGTGGGCAGTTTCTTCTTCTCTTACCTCCACGAATGTTGCCGTCAAAGCGTACAGTGAGTCCGAAGTCAGTGGTGAGCTGGACCTGCCTGGAGTTCATGGTGATGGTCAGACCATCGACTGGACTGAGAGGAGGGGCAACACGCTCACCATTCACCTACAGAGACACAATATTTCAGTATGCACTTTTTACTACAGGCAAAACGAAACAGAAGAAGAAAAACTACGTACCAGGACGGTCTTCCTCTGCAGGAAGCGAACGTTGACACCGTAAACGTCGATGTACATCTGATCTAGGAAGGAAACCCTTCTGTTCCCCCCACGCCTGATGTTCTTCCCCCTCACCACCAGGGGAGCCATCGAGTTCTGCAGGTTGTGGCCCTGAGCCAGGACGTAGGTGTAGGGCCCTTGGAAGTGATGGGCGAAGCCGTCAAATGTTCGGAAGTGAGGGTCCCCAGAGATGCTGCACTTGTCGAACTCTAGATGATAGTATGAATGAAATGGTGAAAATTAGTTATGACTTAAAAGCAATACTTCTATTTTCCACCTTGTTACAACATGTTGGATTACTACAGGTGAAGCGTGGCGGACTCACTGGTGGGTTTGCAGTAGACGTCTCCATATTTGTCCAGAGCACACACTGAGTTGGAATTGCAGGTTTGTGCCTTGCATGTGATTTTGCCACCGAGGTCACAGGTGCACATGTCAGTACATTTTTCCGTCAGCCAAGAGTCTCCAACCTGCACACAAACACAACACACAATTTATATATAATATAAATACAATGATCGATTGCTCTGTGTAACAATCTTTATATGATTGAAGTCATATTTGTGGAGTTTCAGTTGATGGTGATAAGACTGACAACAACTTGCACCACCAACTGAAGAATAATGTACAAATTGTAACTCAATAAAAGTTCAATGGAAGCGTATTGTGATTGCATGACATTTATACATTGTTGTTATTGGCATTGTTCAATCTGAAGGATTGTAAAAAATGGAAGATCTGAATATATCGTACATTTTAAAGAAAGAATTACTTGCATTTAAGTAAAAAAAAAAGAACACATTGTACTGTAATAACTGAAATAACTTTAATATTTGAAACTAAGTATGTCATTTGGCATTTAGCAGGTCAGCTAAACATGGAAGAAATGTAACATTTGCTTTAAATAAACTTTTCCTTCCATAATTTTGTAAATGTAAGATTAAATAACATTAAATATCATAGATTTTTTAAATGAAAATGCCTAGGAATTGTTTTGGAACTAGTACAGTAGATATTACTCTTTTATCTTTAATCATTCTATAAACTTTCTTTCTTTGGGTCATGATCCCAGGCTGGAAACTACACATACTGATGTTTTTTTCTGGGTCCATGCTCTATTAACTCTATTAAGTTCATCTGCACTTTTAATACTCTGTGTATATTTAATGTTCTATATTATCAGATCCTGTTCACAGCAATCGGCCAGCAGCAGTGTGTTTCACTCACATCGTGGTACTCTCCATCAGAGCCCAGACAGCCACATTTGTCCAGAGGAACACACTTGGTGTCACTGAGGACGTATCCGGCATCACACTGACAGCCCTCCACACAGGAGGTGGGGGGGAGGTGGCAGGACATGGGGAAGAGGTCTGAGCAGGTGGGGGGGCAGGGGGCGGTGCAGTCTGAGTAGTGGCTGTTAGGAAGGCACGGCACGGCTGCAGAGAGGGAAAATTAAGTATGAAAATCAGAATCCCTTTAATAGTACAGCGTGTCAGCAAAATTGATATAGCAGATAATAGGCAAGCAATAATAAAGTAGCTAACAGGTAACATTAGTAATACAAACAAATACATTCTTAGTCTATGGCTAAGAATGAAACCAATTCAATAAAATAAGAATTATAGAAAATTATGGTTAGCATAAAAAAGGGTTAGGGTTAGGCAATATATACACTTTTTTTTGGATTCACACCAAAAAAAGTGTATATATTGCATATTACAGTTGACTTGACGTACGACAGAAAGTGTTGTTCCTCCAGCTGATGGTGACCCCGGCGCTCTGGCAGGCCGCGGCGTAGGTCTCCACGTTGTCGCAGAGCGTGGCCTGCATGCCGTTGTACTCGCAAATGTCGTAGATGCAGTTACCCAGGAAGGCTTCGGGGGGCACCAGTGAGTGGCAGGGCTGGAAGCGGTCGGAGAGGATGACGTTGCCACACTGAGCCTCGTACAGTGTCTCTTCTTCTGTGGTGCAGTTAGGGTGGATGTCTGGGCGAGTGTCTGGCTGACAGCTTAAGGGAAGAATGTTGGAAGAATGGTTAGGTCAGGAATGTCAGGGCTGCTCTATCAGACCTATCCTAACCTTAACACTTTTTGAAAAGAGCATTTTTAATAATCTACTCTCTTTGAAGCCACTATAGCTGAAAACTCAAAAGGGTGACACTCTGACGCTGCGTTGATGCTCTTTATAATGTGGAAGTGGCCGTGGTTAAATTTCAAATGGGTTGGAAAACGTTAGACGCAGCCTGGTCTTCTTGATTGTATTCCTATGAAACTAAACTGCAGTCATTAACATTTTTTAAACATTGCTCATAAAATTGCTTAATAAAGAGGACAGGATGGATGGATGGGTCGTGTGCCATGTGTAAAGAATAGTCAACATGGACTTATTCCCATCAACATATGTAGCTTAAGTTACATAACAAACATACCTATTCAAACCAAACCATAATCTGTTACTAAACCTAACCAAGTACTTTAGTTGTGATTTTTTCTTTCAACGTATAATGTTCACAATGTATAACTGCAACTATAATCTGGGAGGAAGCACATTTTCCCTGACACGTAATGCAGAATGCAGATTAGTTTAGTGACGATGTATAAGGCACTGACCCGGGATCACTGTCTCCATCTGACTTCCAGCTGTTGCCCAGTTCAATCACATCCTTGGCTGGTTTCTTGTTGGGCATCAGGTTGTCATCAGTGGAGTTGTGGTTGTAGTTGCCACACATGCCACACAGCTAGAGTGGAGAAAGGTTGATATGGGTTAAGGTTGCATCTTGTAGCACATTCATGGGCAAGAATACAGTTAGAATGGCACAAATTAGTCTTTGGTGCAAGGAAATATGTCTATGTCTTCATACCTTGTTGTAGTATTCTCCGGGAACAGTGATCTCTAGGTGATGCACTCCGTCAAACTTCACCTGTAGACCGAAGTTTGTGTCCAGCAGACTGTAGGACCCGCTGCTTATCACCTTGGTTCCGATCGTGTCGATGGAAAGTGGTGTTCGCACCCTCCGGCCATTCAGCTAACACAATATGCAAAGAACAGATCAGTCAACATGGCTATCATTAAATTAAAAAAATCTGGCTCGATTTACCATGAAAAATGATCCTTACCGTCACTCTGCGGCTCTTCTGCAGTTCAACCACGTTGTCAAAAGGCAGGTAGACTTTGACAGAGCGAACATAGGAGGCCTCTGGTTGGCCACGCTCCTCGTTTTTAGCCACGATCTTGAAGGGAGTTACCCTGGTCGTGTCACAAACCTAGAGGATACAGAAAAATGTAATTTCAAGCAATATGTTTTTTTGTTTCACAAAACAGACACTGGCTAAAACATTTCAGACGTGTATACATTTAAAAAAGAAATGTCTGCATACCTCCACAAGTGTGTAAGTGCAGGTGCCCATGTACGTGTGCATCACTCCATCAAAGGTGTAGTAGTGAGGGTCTCCAGCCACGTGACACACTCCTTTTCCTGAGGTTTGGAGAAAAGAAAAAAAATTGTCAATTAGTTTAAAGAATGATCAAACTACAAAAAATACGAAATTTTATATAAAGAAATGCTTCACATTTTAACTTTAGGTGTAATAAGTTATAACGATGTTTGCTGGGTTACTTTAAAATGTATTCCGTTACAGTTACTGGTTACCTGTATGAAAATGTAATCTGAGAATCACAATATAAAAGTAATGTTACCTGATTCCTTTCCATTACTTTTGGATTGCCTGAATATCAAATGCAATACAAATAAATAAAAAAAATATCAATAAGATGGGTCTTTACTTAAGTGTATAATGTAAGACAACAGAACAATGTGACCTTGGAAAAGAAGAAACCAAGATTTAAAGGATACAAAATTGTGTCATCTTCAATTATAGTTAAAGCCTACAGAATATTAGTTTAAAATGCGATTTTAGTTTAACACATTAATTAAAAACCAACAAATACTTTGCGTTTCATAACTAATGTGTCCACCAACTGCAATGAAAGTAGTCAAAATAAAAAATCTAAAATGGAAGGCAGTATGTCTACCTATGATACAGTTACGTTGTTTTTAATCCTGATTACGTCATCCCGTTACATGTAATCTGTTACTCCCCAAACCTAGTAGCGAGTGATGTTCAGTGTACCTGTAGAGTGGCAGTCCAGTACTCCTTCTACGACCTTACACTCCTGAGCGGGGCTGCACTGCCAGGGCTCGCAGGTGATGTTGTTGTTTCCGCTACACTTACAGCGCTCCGAGCAGTCCGTCTCTGAGAACCAGGTGTCTCCAACCTACACACAAACAGAAACAGTGCACATGAAAAGCATGTTCAAACATCTCTCTTTAGTCTAGTTGCCAGCATAGTGGGCCCTGAAATGTTGAGTACACCAAAGTTTTATGGTAGAAATGTATAGTAGGGTCCCCAGCACATAGGAACTGCCGGATGCTAACATGCATATGTTGGCCAATTTGCACAATTAGCACAAACTGCCATTTTTGACCATGAACATATCAGAAATCAAAAAACTACTCCAAAATTATCCTAATTGACCAGACCATTTTTAAACTATTATCCACACAGGCTATAATGTTAATTAATGCAACTTATCCTAATTGTGCAAATTGCCCAACATATGGAAGTTAGCATCTGGCAGTTTCTATGTGCTGGGGACCCTACTGTACATTTTGAACATAAACTTTGGTTTACTCAACATTTCAGGGTTCAAAATACTAGAGATGCTCCGATCGATCAGCCGCCGATCGATATCGGCCGATACTCACTCTCTGCCGATCGATCGGAACTCTCTAAAATTGCCGATCGCGAGAGCCGATCGCATGACGTAAAATTATGACGTAAAATACATGACACTTTTCTCTGTGCGGGGAAAAACAAGCTCGCCAATATGGCTTCACCAGTCTGGCAGTATTTTAAGATGTCCCAAAATGACAATAAAATAACGGTATGCAACATGTGTGAAGCAGAAATCCTGCAGCTCCACCCGCTGTGACGGACCGGTGAGCGGAGCAGAACACACACTAATGGCGCATTTCCACTGCAGCGCGTAGCACTGTTTAAGCGTGCCGTGCCAAACCCGACCCGTTTTTGGTTGCGTTTCCACTAGGGGTAGTTCCGGCNAATCACAGAACTCCAGACAATCATGCATACAGTCACCTACTATTTCTGTCGCACCCATAACTCTATGGAGGAATGTCTCGGTTACAGTGCTGTGCCACCTAGTTTGATTTATCTTGAGACCCTATCTAGAGACGTCGTAGATTATTACTTTCAGGAGTCGAGGATCGAGAATTGTGGACGTCCTAATAAGGACAGGTTGAATGTAAACTACCTAGCTTACAATTGTTTGCTCGTGAGGGTAAATTTCGGGACATAAGGAAATCACGAGTGATCGGAGTGACACGTGTATCATAAAAGATATGTACCGTATGGTAGGTAACATTAGTGGAAACAAACAAAGAATAGGGATTGTACCTACAGGGTATTATTGGCAACACAGGAGAGTCTTTTTATGACTAACCTAGTAATTAGCACTTGGTTTACAGTAAAATCCTCTTTTTGACTTCTATTGTAAGAATTCTAGATAGCTTAAATCGCGTTGTGGGACTCCACAGAAAATTCGGTCGCATCGAACTCTTAATAGTCTTGCTGACGAGGTTCAGAACTGCTGGTCTACTTCATCCTGCAATCCTGAGAACCTGACCAAAAACAAACTAATTGGAATATAGCAATCGCATTTCGAATTCGTTATGGTCTTACGATTTGTGGTGCTAGAGACCAATGTCACCCGTGCGGAGAGAGAGAGCGAAGTGCGTGCGTTGTGTTTTACCCGTCTATTAGGGTGGTCTTACTTTTTATAACATTTTATATAAAAAATAACCAGTTCGTAAATTAAAATAAGTAACGATAGCCCTACAAGGTTACCATATCCAATGTAGTGAAGTCTTTTGTGAAAAAACAAATATTTAAAAGGGTACCTATGAGGCGATTGTAGGGCTATTCGGTTACTTATAAGAAGAAAAAAAAAAAAAAAAAAAAAGACAAAAAAAAAAAAGAAAATTTATTCACTCGTATCTTGTACTTATAACCGAAACAACGCAAATTCCCTCTAGTAAGGCGGCCACTTAGTTTCGACGGAACCACCCTTTCTGCCACACTAGCCAGTATCAAAGAGCATCTAGCTGTCTACGACGCCAGCGCGCTAGTCGCCCGTAGGAGAACCTAACGGTAAAGCTCGTCTACTCACTAGAACTTCTGCAACTCCTCGAACCACCCAGACGTAGCCTTTACCACGTATCAACCCCTTACGATCCCATATGTAGTAGATAACTAATGCAAAACGCTTTGTTTGGAAAGTGTGTTAGCCCCACAGAAGGCAAAAACTCCTCCCAGACTAGTGGAGCTCACCCGTTGTCCAGAAAATCAGGTCGTGTGCAACACGTTCAGGGGAGCAGAACACACACTAATGGCGCATTTCCACTGCAGCGCGTAGCACTGTTTAAGCGTGCCGTGCCAAACCCGACCCGTTTTTGGTTGCGTTTCCACTAGGGGTAGTTCCGGCTAACGGGTACTTTTTCACAGTTTTTCTGGCCCTCCAAAATCGTGGTTCTTTCCGGGCCAACAACCGGGCTGAATATGCAAAACTAGTGAGAGAATCGCTGGCAAGGGGGCTACAACTACAACACAATGAACATATTTTACCGTGATTTAATTGTAATATATGTTTCAAAATGATGCCGAAGTAACAACATACTGATACCGGTTAGTAACAACTATGAAATAATGCTTTGACAAGTCTGCAGACAAGACGGCAGGCGAAAAACCTTTTAAAATGCATGTTTTCTGAATGGAGATCGGCTAAGCTAACGTTGTATATGCTCCGACCGTCCACACTCACAACAACGGCCTACAGACATAAATAAAGCAGCGACTGTATTCGCCATGACACAGACAGTCTGTGGTTTGTACTTGTTTAACTTTTGTCTAGTTTCTGAACAGATATGAGTAGCTGTGAGCTCTGAGTGCTAACAGCTAACGGCTTTTGTGTTTCGCATTGAAGATGATGTCACGGCTCCGCCTACACTGCGTTACTATAGTTACTGTCCCAGCTACTAAACTGTAATGGAAACGCAGCATAAAGTGAGCCTGGCCTACAANACAGGAGTTGTTGGTTTGGGTGTAAAGCTAAACTAGTTATACATATATTTATTCTTCACTGTCGGGTCACCATTACTGGATCAGTGAGCTGCATGAGACTATACTGAGAGGCTGTCAGGAGAGAGAGAGAGAGAGAGGGGGAGGAGAGAGAGAGAGAGAGAGAGAGATATTATCCAAAGTTAATGTTAACTTGAATAATGTACTTCATTTGAATGTAATAATTATGTTGGTTGTTGTTTGTGGAAGCGCCAGTGAATGAGCCCCATTAACTGAGTTTAATCACTTTAAATGGAAGATCCCCATAGGCCCCGCCCACTCGATCGGATCGGCGATAGGTATCGGCCAATACTGATTCCGGCGATCGGCTATCGGCCCCAAAATTGGCGATCGGAGCATCCCTACAAAATACTATCCGGAAGCCTCCACCCTCTGCACTCACCGGCCTGTACTTCCCGTCTTCATCCGTGCATCCACACTCGCTGATCGGGACACATTTGTCTCCGCTGAGGACGAGGCCGGGGATGCAGACGCAGCCCTCCACACAGGGGTAGTTACAGGAGCCGGGGCTCGCAGGGTTCTGACAGCTGGGCTGGGAGCAGGCGGGGCCACATGGGTTGTACTGACTGCCGGGGGGGCACTTCAGGGCTGGAGAGAGGAAGGCAGTTGCAAGGCAGTTGCAAGGCAGTTGCAACGTTACAAGCGTTTTTCTTTTGTAAATATTTGCAGTTATACAGCTTTTTCCACAAATGCAAATCCACAATAGTTTTTCTCACACTCGCGACTCTCAATGTTGTTGGACTGAAAATTGTTTGGCTTTTTTTAAGCTTACGTACTCGCCGAGTTCATGCTATTCTAACATTTTATATTCATGGTTGATTGCACTTATTGTTATTCACTTTAGATAAGCGTCATGTAGGAGCTCATGGTGTAAAGGTAGGAAACAATGTTTGAATCCGGTTCCGCCGGAAGGACAATGAGTTTTTGACCACACACCCGGGCACACATACGCAAACACGGGAAACTAAGTTGTAGTGTTTCTAAGTATCATTTTTTGCACAGTAATGATATCAGATAAAAGTGGACAACAGTAATGGAAAATAAATGGACTCTGAGTGTTCAGTTGGAAACTTGATAAACCGTAAACCTATTACCTGACAGGCTAAAGTGTGTGTAATTTATGTAAACAATAGCAACACCTCAGTGGCCTACAGCGTCGGCTTAGCCTCTCCACGCCAGTTATTATTAAATGTAATGTTATTTTGGTCATATTGCTTACAAGGGTGATGGCATCCTGCTCAAATGCCTAATAAGTGTGTCGAAATGCTAAATGGCAAAATGTCCATATGTAGAGCACATCAAATTAGAATCCTGCTGATTAATTGTTTAAAGATTGAGCTGAAAGGAGTTAGGAGGGTCTGAACTATAGGACTTGTTTTTTGCATGACCAAGACCTTGGATCTTGTGTCTTGTTTAACAGCGGCCTATGTGGCAAGTACAGAAACTAGCTAACAACCAAATAGCTGTGGACCAAACAACCAAATAGCTGTGGTTTTAGATAAACTTGGTGCTAATGACATGATCGTTCTATGAAGGTCATTTCTATTCTTCACACCGACACACAAACTTACGACAGAAGGTGTTATTCCTCCATGCGATGGGGACTCCTGCGGAGGCACACATGTCGGCGTAGCTCTCGATGGCCTGGCACAGGGCCACGGTCTGACCTCCAGTGCCACACATGTCATACACACAGTTCTCAAAGTATGGACCGGGGGGCATCACGGAGTGGCAGGGCTTAAAGATACCTGAGGTCGAGATAAGACAGAGACATGTAGTTGAGGGGAATTGCAGACAAACTCATTTGGCTAAACGGTCACTTTCACATCGGTATCGGCCGTACCGTTTGGATCTGTGATCATGCCGCAGCTGGTGGGCTTCTGAGCCTCTGCCTCCACCTTGTCATCACAGTCCTCCTGTTCTCCACCATTGGTACAGCTGGTGAAGAGGCGGATGATTAATTAAAATGCAGTAAAGTACAGATTTTTGTCTTATGTGTTTATGTATTAATCACTGTGACTCACTCAGGTCGAGGGTCAGGAACCTGCCAGCTGTCTCCCAGCTCGTTGGTGTTAGCAGCCGGCTTATTGTCTGGTTTTATGTTGTCATCTTTGGAGTCTCCATTGAAATTTCCTTAAAAATACATAAAGACTCAGTCAACATGCTGAAAAAGGTCTGGTAGTTTTGGTTTGGAGAACCACTGTACACTTAGTCAAATACAGTGGAAGTAGCACATATAAAGGATTGGACAAAAACTTTGATGGAATCAGTTCAATAGTTTGAATAGTCTCTGGTTTACTGTAGTATCAGGGGCCTGAAATGGGACCCAGCTCTTACCACACATGCCACAGAGCAGGCCGTTGTAGGAGGTTGGCAGGGTGACGTCAGCGTGGTGGTTACCATCGAAGCGCACCCTCAGGCCGAAGTCTGTCTCCAGGACGACGAACTTGCCACTCAAGTAGATCTTAACTCCTCTGATTGTGGAAACAGGTGGAACGACCGCTGTTCCATTCACCTGAAGAACACAGCGATGTGTCAGTTTTTGATAGCCAAAGAGTGTCTATATGGAGCCATTCATTGGTATACTGTAGAATGATGGTTTAGTGACCCGGGAATATCTTTGTGGCATCCATTACAAAACAGTTCACATTTTTCAAAGGCTATCAAAGTTGCTTCAAGTCTTCTGTTTTATTCTCTTTAGCTTAGGGTTTTTTTTCCTTTACGAAAATATAAAGAATTATGCGTCCAACTATTTCTAGCAGGCGCAATATTGAAACTGACGTCACACCAACATCAATAACATCTACCGATTAGCTACACTTAGCTAATTATGTAGCTAAGTGGCTAAGCTAAGTCCTCTTGAATTCTCCCATCTTTCATTGTTCTTATGATGTTTTTCAGCGAGATCAAGGTGAAGTAATTACAAAAATACATAGAATGTACAGTTTTTTGAAAGCACCACTTGCTCTGTGAGGCAGTGTACCTGGACTGTGCGGCCCTTCCCGAAGATGAAGGTCACTCCGTTCATGTTGATCACCACGGCCCTGACGTAGGAAATCTTCTTACTGCTCCCTCTGTGCTCGTTTTGGGTGTCCACAGAGAAGTAGGGCATGCCCGAGGACTCGTTGCAGGGTTTGGACAGGGTGTAGGAGCAGGCCCCCATGTAATTGTGGGTGCGTTTGTCAAAGGTGGTGTAGTGGGGATCACCAGACACGGAGCAGATACCACTTCCTGTAAAAGAGAGGGAGAAATGTAGCTATATGTTGCATGCATATTTCCTACATTTTCTCGCAATTGGAATTCCCGATGCAAGATATTGTCAACAGTGGTGGAATAAGCATTCAGATGCTGTTCTTGAGTAACAGTTCCAATACATTATTGTCAAATTACTTAATTACAAGTAAAGGTCCTGCATTCAAATCTTACTTGAGTAAAAGTACAAAAGTATTATCAACAACATGTACTCTAAGTATAAAAAGTTAAAGTAATCATTGTGCACAAAAGGCCTTTATGTATGTCTTTACTTATATTTATATATATGTGACATTTCTAGATTATAGTGTTGCATCAAGTACGTTTTACTGTTGTACAAAAACAAAGTTCTGATTGACTTTTTTTGAAATGTTTAAACAATTTCAAATGCATTGGAGTACACTTACATTATTTCCCTTTTAAAGATAGTGGAGTAGAAGTATAAAGTAGCATGAAATAGAAATACTCAAGTAATATAGTCCCTTGTTCTTAAGTACAGTACTTGAGTAAATGTACTTAGTAACTTCCCACCTCTGATTGTGAATCAGTGAATCTCAATAACTTGAATGGAAACTGATCCAGAATCCAGTGCTTGATAAAGAAATAGTCCACAAAAAATGAGTGTGTGTTGAACGTACCCAGAGGACGGCAGTCATATTCTCCATCGTGCAGCTGGCAGCTCTCAGTGGATGGTTTACAGCTGGTGTTTTGACACTGGATCGAACCCCCACTGTGACACACACACTTCTGCTCACAACCCTCCAGGTACCAGTTATCATTCACCTGAAACACAAAAATGAAAATGAAACATTATATGACCAATTTAAAAGCATCAGACGTCCAAAGACACACCATTGTTTTGATCAGATAAATTAAATTGTGGTAAACTAAACAATACTGTCATTTTAACATTCAAAATAAATACCAGGTGTGTTCATACTTATGGGACGAGGCACTTACAGGGTGATAGTTTCCGCTGGGGTCCACACAGCCGCAGTCTTTCAGGGACACACACTTGTCGTTGCTGAGGATGTAGCCCGGGTTACACTCGCAGCCCTCCACACACACGTCCTGACAGCCGGGAGACCCCCCCACACCCAGGCAGGTCTCGGGACAGGAGCTCACACACAGAGAGTAGGAGCTGTTGGGGGGGCAGGCCAGGGCTGCATGGAGGGACAGAGACAGGGTGTAATAACAGTGTTATTCTGGTGTAAAGTTGAGTATTTAAAGATGGGGGTCTATGGGGATTCAATCATTTTTGGAGCTGGCCTCAAGTGATAATATGAGTAGTTGCAGTTTGTGGCTCTTCCGTATGCTCAGTGCTGAAGTTTGCTGCTTTAACTTTTGCAGTTGTCATGAATCAAACGTACAAACTGTCAGGTTGTCATTCTGGCAATTTCAATGCTAACATGCTAATGTTTGGTGGAGTACATTTGCGTCAACCAATCAGAGGGTCAGTGGTCAATTAATCCAGCCCTAAGAGTAAACATGTCGAACGGTCCTTAGGTAGGAATTAAATGTGTCATAAATATCCAGGGAATCCCAAAAGGTCTTATGGGGAACATTAATGTTTATACCAAATTCAATGAGAATTTATGTAAGAGTTGTAATTATATTTCATTTTGGACATGATGGATCCAAAATGGCCCACCCTGCAGTCACTAAAATGAAATACAGTTACATTTCAATTATTTCTATCCGATTCTACAAAATAAACATAGTACCTTTCTGCTATTGAAGATTTTTATTTACAAAATAGAACTTTCAAATGACTGGAAAACTCAAGGCTGTTGTGGAAATATTTTCCAAAGCCCATAAGTTTGACCCAGTTTATCAGTTCTGTCCTGACTGAGCACACACACCTGTAACCTTGGCTGCTGTGCTCTCAGTGTTTTGTCTCCCTGTTCCTGCCTATTGGCGTCAGCTGATAGAGGTGTTATGATTCTATCTTGTAATGCAGCATGTTGATTATTCTCTCTGAACTAGCTAAATACATGGGTCTGGGGTAGAGTTCTTCAGAATTGATGTGGCAACTCTACCGTGAAGTCAGAACCTCTGACTCTTTGACTTGTTTTGTGAATTCTCCGGCCGAAGCTCCAAAAAAACCCATCAGTGTTTGACATCAAAGCTCCAGCTCTCCCCGTGTCTCCTTTGAGTCGGTGACTCCTCCTGCATTGCTACACAGAAGTTTTCCCCACAAAGGCAAAGCAGAGAAGACAAAGATCCTCTAAGGAAACACTGAGTTAAACTCACGGCAGAAGGTTGGAGTCCTCCACTGGTGGACTTTGGCCCCGGCGCTCTGGCAGACATCAGTGTAGGCCTGGAGCTGGTCACACAGAACATGCTGCTGGCCATTGAACCGACACATGTCGTACACACAGCTCTGGAAGAACGGAGTGGGGTCCACCTTGCTGATACACTCCCTGGATAGAGAAAAACTCATAAGGTCAGGCAGATGGTCCAAAACAGTGAAAAGATACACTAATGACATAATGCCGATTTCACATGTAGCATTCTCTATCTATTCGGTCCTTGAAACCATTTTTGATATGAAAATGAATATATGAAAACAATAAACTACTTCCTTAACAACCCAACCTAACAAATGTTTTACATTAACAGTATGTATGTGGGTGTTGTGGTTCAATGCTATTATTGTAATTATTGATTATGTAAAACAAGCTATAACTGTAATCTGGAACAGATAAATTACTTATTGTCGTAAAGATAACACAATCTGTGTCTCCTCCACGCTTTCAAAATAAAACACCCACTTTCTAAATTGAACCCATAGAGTGTCAGTATGCTCAGACTGATGGGAGTATCTACAGCCACACCCTCTAACTACCCTTTGTCCGGAGCTGTTGATGTTATCGGATACAATTCAAGATACATAAGTGCTGACATTGCTAAGAACAGGAAGTGCATAGATACAGTAAATGTATACGTTGAGAAACTGGAGTAATTAAAATGTATGACAGAATGCATACAGTACAAACTGGATGATATTGTTACTGTTTCATTTAACTTTTTCAATATTTATTATTCTACTTGAAATGTAAAATGTTATCGTATACGATTAATTCATCACATGTTAAAAATGTATAACTTTTTATCATTATACATTTTGAACATGCATTTCTATATATTATGAAAGATTTTGAACAAAAACTAATATTTTATTCTAATCCAAAATGTAACAGAATGTATAGAATGGTAATAAAATAACAAAGATTCTCTGTCATTATTGCAAAGATTGGATTTATTTTCAACATCTAAGGATAAGAAGATGCATTTGTCTTATTCTTAAAACAATATATATGGTACCAGCTGCTTTATGCCCTTTTCCGGTTAGAACTAATGCAAATAGTTGCGAGCATTTACCTGCTAGAAAAAACACAAACTACCTAGTTGCATTATGGGAAATGTAAAATCTGAAAGTTTTTTGAGCCTTAATAAAGACTTTAAAAATGATGTGAAAATAAAATGGGATTATTCAGATTATATATCTGTATCTCAGCAGGGTGATTGTTTTAGCTCAGGTCCCTTTAAACAGCCCCTGCATCTAACAGTTAAACAGGAATTGAATAATTGGGAAGAGAAAAATCAGTTTCCTCACCTGAAGGGTCCTGCAGGGTCTTTGATTTTACCACATTTTTCCGGTTTCACCACCTCAGCCTCCAGTTTTGGGTCACAGTCTGGGTCCGGCTTGGTACCCGGGGTACACCTGATCAACACAAACACACCAAGAGGGTCAAGTACAAATAAACAATCAACTGTCCTTTCAATTTGATTTGTTCTCAGGCACTAGTCCAACGTACATTTTTGGCAATATAACATTTATATTCTTATAATAATGTATGTAAACATAAAGTTATTATTTGATCAAATAACATGTATTTGTGCTTAAAATAGCCCATTGCACAGTATAAATCCATACAATGTGTAAGAAAATATCACTCGTCACTGGCTTGAGCTTCAATATCAGGATACATGTATTTATTATCCTTGCAAGAATGGAAGTAGTCATCACATACAGAGCTGCATGGGACAAAAATAGTTTCCCCAAATAGTGTCCTTCTTTATATACAAGAGAGGGTGTTATTCAGTCACAACAAGACACATGTTTAACGGTTCAAAGCAGTATTCTTTGCTTAGCTCAGATTAGCTAAGGACTGCGTAAGCAATAAACATTACAGTCATACTGTATGTCTATCTCCATAGAGGCTAAATCATCATGTTAATAGTTGTCCCATAGCTATCATATGCCTAAAACAGTCCTGATGCTCTTCTAGGTGATCATACATCCTTTTACGTACACAGCTACGTAGGGTCTTTGTTATCATGTGCTACTCTGATATTAGAAGAGTACATTCAGTATTTTCCCAACACAATGTATAGCTCATATTATGTGTTTCTTTAACGTTCATTCTCAAACTGTTAATAACTCAGTAGATTATAGTGTCCATGAGCCTAGTCACATGTAGTTCAATCACATGCTCGGACCTTAAGTGAATTCCAAAAACGTTCAAAGAAAATTCCAGCATGAAAGTGAATGATTATAAACTCACGTGTCATCTTCATCCTCTTCCGTCTGCCAACTGTTCCCAAAGTCATTGACATTTCCTACCAGAACGCCATCTGGTTTGGTGAAGTCATTGTCTGGTTTCCCATTGTAGTCTCCACAGAGGCCACACATCTGGTCATAGTAGGAGCTGGAGGGACAAGTCATGATGGAATTAAGAGATAAAGAGGAATGTCTTAGGAAGACTTAAAAGGTCAAAAACCTGTTTGGCCCTTGGATGGAATTCTGGAGACATAATGCAGAAATCTCTTAATCTGCGTCAGGGCATCATCAATGTTGTATTTATATAAAACTAAAGAATGTTGGGATCGAAGATGTATTGAAAATAGCAGATCTGTGTGACCTCTGACCTACAGTTTGAAAAGATGCTTGTGTGACTGATTTCTTAGGCAGCTTCCATGAAATACACCTAAACCCAGATTAAACTGACCTATGGCAGTTTATAGCATTTTATACAATTTTATATACCCAGCCCATATCATTCTGTTTTTCACAGTGTGCTTCAAACAGCTACATGTGCAGCCTAAATTCATTTGTGAAGTTCATAACTTCAACAAAAAAAAAGTTGCAAATGTATCCAGAGCTACATAAGATGTATAATTATGTTATCATTTTGCGATTTTCAAAAAAGTGTTTTGCTACTTTTAAGTTGATTTAAGGGTCCCAGTTTACTAGCTTTGTTTTCTCCATGCCCCACAGTTTAGATTACTAACCTGGGAACTGAGATCTGGGCGTAATGGTTTCCATCCCAGCGCACCCTGAGGCCGAAGGGCGTCTTCAGGGTGATGTACTGACCCGCAAGACTGATGGTGATGAGAGGGGAGGGGGAGTTAGGGAGGGCCACTCGCAGTCCGTTCACCTGGGGGAAGAAAAGAACATAAAGACGGGGTTAAACAGAAATGCCGGTAGCTAAGCCTGGCACTAAGCTAATAATGGGCCACAGTAACAATTGTGAAATTGCACTTATCTGCTATGCTAAAATATCTGAATGCTTACTTTATTGATGAGGGTCACATTACAGTGTTTTAGTATCAAAAATGTAAACATTGCCCCAAGCCTAAATGTCTTATTTAACTCTGCTAGGTAGAGATATTAAAGGTGTGTTAGTTGATAGAAATAGGCGTGTGTAACATCATTTCATCACAAACTTGGGTCAAATATAAGCTAAGTTGGTGGGCACACATGTCCATTCATTGAACTGTTAAGGTCTTTTTGTTGGGGTATTTTAACATATTACAATTATTTTTGAAAGATTTAAAATTATGTTAATATTGTGAGCTAATTTGTATTATTTTGAATAGTAACTGTCAAACATATTTAGAGATTCATTTGTTTCAAATTCAATTGTTTTTATTTTTTAACAATGGGTAGATATGGTATTTAGTTCATGTTTTCTGATGCTTTTTAAATTAAATGTTCAAATTGTTTCGTTTCGCATTTTAAAATGCTAATGTTAAAATTAAAATAAAACCAAGAAATACCTAATTTTAGAACATGTTTGTTTAAATTAAAAGATATGTACGTACAGGTGAGGTATTGTAATTGTAAAGCGCTTTGAGCACCTGTAAAAGCGCTCTGAATAAAAAATGTAATCCATTATTATTATTATTATTATTGACATTTAATTTGCTGCTTTAAAAAATCCAACATAAATTATGTCAGACTACACAGCAGAGTGAAAAGTGTGCCAACCAACCCCAGCCTCCCCTACTCTTAATATTTGTTTTATATTTATCATTTCCTGTCAGTTTATCTTATTTCACACGTGAATAAAAACCCTGCACACAGGGATTAAGATCTCTGGCTGGATAAGATGACGGAGCGTTGACACTGACGGATCAAGTAGCTGATATGATGAGGAGAAAGAGGTTAGCATACGGATTTCTAAGATTATGGCATTATAAAAGGATACAAGTCAAGGAGCGCGGATAAGATGAAATGGAAAGGTGAAGAGGAAAAGGGAATGGCTTTGTGCTCACTAAACCAGAAGATTAAGTGTGGTGTGTGGAACATGGATACACACATGTGCCCAATCATCCTCTTCTCAACTTGCTAAAGTATTTTTATAGACACAAATACACTGTGTAAATGTTGCCCATACTGACCAGCGTTCTCCTGGACTTCATCAGGGTCACAGTGACTCCATTGACAGTGACGTAGAGTTTTCTCAGGTAGGACACACCGGACACGCCTCTCTCCTCGTTCTTCCCCTCCACTGAGAACCAAGGACCTGCGGAAGGTTCAAACACAAAGAATATCGTCTCTTGTTTTTGCTTCGGGCTCGACTCGGGTAGTGCTCCAATCGGAGGTTGTGGATTTGCCCCCCGCCCTTACATGTCAATGTATCCTTGGGCAAGTTATTTAAGCCCAAATTACCTCCAATAGCATGACCGCTGTGTGTGAATGTTAACTTCCTTTAGCAGATGACACCTTGCATGGCAGCGCCCGCCTCTGTATGAATGGGTGAATGATAACTTGTATAATTGAAGCGCAAAGACTGGATTTACACCAATGTGGATTCAGTCTAAAAATATGATATGTCAAAATATGAAACAATTGAGTCTAAAAGTGGAAATGACATAAGAAAATTATGTTACTCTTGGAAATATGGCTTTCTTTTGATTTGTTTTCAATTTCCAATGTGGTTTTAGTGCCACCTTCTGGTGTAAGGACATCAGATTTTATAGGATAACAAAGTTGATGTGTGCAATGTGTTGTGACAAGAATTTGGTAACAGTTATAGAAAGTGACATAACATCTTTAAATATCTGTTCAGCTTCAATGGAAATGACATGGATCTTACCTGTGTTGTTCTTGCAGGTCCTGGCTAGAGTGTAGGTACATGTTCCCATGAAGGTGTAGAACTTCTTGTCAAACGTGTTGTAGTGAGGATCACCGGACACCACACAGTTCTGAGAGCCTGGGAGAGGGACATGCACAGAACATAATAAGACTTATGCTGTTAACGTTAAACAACTTGCATTAGGGAGAAGTTGTTCTGTGTGGTAACAAAGAATAAGAGGTACCCAAATTGTACCCTGAAGAACACCTGAGTATGATGTTTCAAGGATTCGATCTTGAGTCTAAAGCTCCTCAAACAATGCAACATACAGTATGGTATACTTAATATAAAAGTAAAATATATAAGAAATGCAGTAAAATAGATAGAAAATGATTAACTTTGACTCCCATTTCCTGATATCATATTCTTGCAGCTATGTATATATTGGTATACTGTACTAAAACTTGCGATTACCAGCTATAATCTAAAGTCATTTAATTGAATTTGGTTTTAAATTCATTTACTTTCCTTCTTCAAAATTCTACTTCTTCTGCTAAGTTGTAGAAAAATGGTTTTTTTGTTATACTGATAATGTCAATACACTATGATTCACACACACTTTAGTTACACGTAGTATGAAGGGTGTAAACTTACCGGTGGGATAGCAGCCCAGCTCTCCCTCCTGGAGTTTACACTCATGCATTGGGGGGCAATCGAACGCCGAACAGGTCACAAAAGGTGCGTTACACCTACACTTCAGCTGACAATCCTCCACATAAAACTCATCTCCAGACTGACACACACATACACACACGCATTTTAACTGTGTTAACAAGATCCTCACATATTCAAAAGCAATGATGTCCTTGTGGCTTTAAACTGAAATTGAAATTTCCCCTGGTTGCAAACCCCTCTTCTCTGTACCTCATAATACTGTCCGTTGTAATTGCAGCCACACAAACTCTTCTTCACGCACTTTCCGGCACTCAGGACATATCCAGGATCACACACACAGCCCTCGGAGCAGGGCCCGCCGCAGGAGGAAGGTTTCTCCAAACACGTCTCCTGGCAGGGGGCTGCACACGGCTCATAGTGGCTGTTGGGTTGGCAGCTCAGAGCTAGGGGGGGAGGAAAGGAGGCTGAGTTCAGTGATAGGAAGGGCATAAAAGCACATGCTGAAACCAGGGCTTGAATTAATCAATTGTATAATGAAGATTAGTAATGTAAAAATGGTACAATTGTTTATGGCAGCAGGCTTCATGTGTGGGCTATAGACAAATGACCAACCCAACCCAAAATGGGTTGGCAAAATAACGCCATAAGCCATTTGGGCTGAGTTCTTATTTTGAAAAAAGCCGCTTTTGTCTTGCCCTACATCCCACCATCCATCTATAATTTCTCGGTCCACTCTTTCACCCGACACTCACGGCAGAAGGTTTCGTTCCTCCAGGGTCCGATGTTTACACCGCGGTCCTGGCACTCATTGACGTAGGCTTCGATGGCTTCACAGAGGATGGGCTTGGCTCCATCCAGCTCACACAAGTCGAACACACAGTCCCTGAAGTAATTCTGAAGACACACACGTAGTTTGAGTTACAATCCTTCACTTTATATCTTTATCTTAAACCATAAACTGTCATTTCTGTCTCCCTCTTTCCTCTGCTTCTTATTATTTGTATGAGGTTGTATTGATTGTATTGCATGTTGGTACACTAAAATGAGTTCTACATCTAAAGAGGGAACTGCTTCATGTTTGTCTGTACTGTATGTGTGTTTTTGTGAAGCGACTTACATTTGGGTTGACCTTGCGGTGGCACACAGCGAAGGGACCCTTTTTGTCCAGCAAGATACCACAGTATCCTGAGCTCTCGTACATTTCCTGCTCTCCAACCTCACAGTCGGGGATGGTGGTGTTTGGTTTCTTATTACACCTGTCAACACAGACAGTAAGTTAGAGAAAGTTGACATGTGTTGCTCAAATAAACGGGTGTGGTGTATTTTAGTATGGTGACCCAAAATATCCGATTTAACTATAAAGCAAGGAATCTTTCAACATGGGTCTGTCCTGCAAATTTCTGGAGTGCAGTGTTTAGCTTGTGGTAAATCGGACTAGCTGTTCTGGTGCCCTTTCTGGATTGGCACACCCAGAATGCGCAATCTACACGTATTAAATAAATAGGTATGGTCAAACTAGTAACGTAATGTCTGTGTATGCAGCTTGTTTGTAGAAAAATGAATGTATGCTACTAACTCTGGATCAGTGTTCCAGCTGTGTCCAAAGTCATTGGGGTTGTTGGTCAATGATCCATCCGGCTTACGGAAGTCATCTTTGGCATTCCCGTCATAATCTCCACACAGTCCACACAGCTTGTCTTCATAGCTGCAGGTTAAAAGACGATATAAAGGTTAGATTTTTTTGAATTTTTTGAGAGGAACAAATCAGGTAGAGCTGCATGTGTCTACTTTTCCACCACCATATCCAAGAGTTTGTAACAGGGTTATTGTTATTATTTTCTAAACGTCCATTTAAAGGATGATTTGGTATGTTGGGTTGGGGTAAGAACAAAAGAGACATTCTCCAATGACTGTATCTTTTTTCAGTCTTCACTTACTCTTTGATCACTTTGATATCCATAAAGTGGTTTCCATCATAACGAACTGTCACGCCAAAGTCCATGTTCACAGTGTAGAACTTCCCTGACTTGAACACAGAGACACCTGGGGCTGGACTCACTGCCAGATTTACATTGGTTCCATTTACCTGTGTGGGGAAAGCAGGTGCAAATAACATAGTTTGGTGATAACTGAGATAATAGATGTGGCATTTATAGGATATTTCATTTTCACTTAAATTATGTAGAATAAGCTCAAAAGTTAGTGTTGAACCCACATCGGGTTAATATGAGCAATAATTCTCACATCAAGTTTGTCAATGTAAAACAAGTGAGTATTTATACATTACTTGTATTTTTTTAATTCACCTTACTAATGTTAATAACAACTTTTTTGCCAATATGTGTAAAAATTCAGAGCCCATGTGATAGCCATGTGATCGCTATAAGCTACATCTGGTTTGACGCAGTAGTTGAGTCAGTTGGCTCTTAAAACTGCAGATGCAAATACGCTATGTCCAGTTCAATACAGTTTTTATTATCGCTATTACATGGTTTTCGTATAATTGTATTATTTAGCTAAAACACAAAATGGCTAATACTGCTACCTGTACGGCTAATGATGTTTTGCCAACTTAGTGACAGGATAATGTTTGCCGGTAGGCTTTCACAATAAAAGCATCCTGACGATTTTTCAATGTGGAGATTTAAGCATTGGATTACATCCTGTGTATGTAAAGGGAAAGACATTTAATTGTAGCTACTTAATTTAGCTATATCCTTAATTGTCTTTTGTAGCCTACAATAACTTTAGTTACCTTGACATGTTATAATTTAATCAATTGTATGATGGTCTTTACCATGACACCCTGTCTGTTAAAAACTATGCTAGCTCCTCCACTTCTTACCTGTACAGTGCCACCTTTGAGAATGGAGATCTTCACCGTGCGTACATATACATGGACAGCTTTCAGATAGGAGATGGTGGGCCTGTTAAAGCGATTTTCATTGTCTGCATGGACCTCAAAGTGTGGCAGGGTGGTTTCATTGCAGGGTCCTGTCATTAAATAGCTGCAGTTTCCCATGAAGTTGTACTTGCGTTTGTCAAAGGTGGTGTAGTGCGGATCACCAGATGCTATGCACGTGGATGTACCTAAGGTATTAGAAAGTATGTTAGAGGTTATTCTGTTACAAATATGCTTCACTGGTTCACAGTAATTTAAGATTAAGAACTAGCTAAACTCCAGTTGCTGTAGAGTACAGCAAATGGTGGCGACAGATCATTTGGTACCAAGTCAGATGGTCATTTTGAAGTGACACCTAAAGCTTTTTAGTCACTGTGGTCAGAATTTAGTGTTTTAGGAAAATTATAAACGTAAAATGTAGTGAGACATTAGCACACACAGGGTAGGGTTAACTGACTCAATGATGTCAGTTACAAAGCAGAACAGTATCTAAAGTTTTCTAACATTAGCAAAAATAGGCCTCCTACTAGTCACACCAGAACAAGTATACGACCATATCAGATAATCTTTTGCAAGGCACTGCTTTCTGTGCACAATCAAGTTTGAGGAAGGTTTGTTATGAAGTGGGTACCGTATCCCTGTTCAAAGAATTATCCTTTGTCACTAATAATTCAACTTACTCTCTGCCTTTGTGTGTTGTCGGAAATAAGAGTTCTAAACACTTTCACCATTAGATGTGGTTGTTTGACATAATAGTTAAATTATATCATGTTGAGCTGCTAGTAATAGCTCCTGAACCAATTCCAAGAACATCTACCAGTCATAATTACCTTTAGGATAGCAGCCTGAAACTCCATTAACCTCACGACACTCTTCAGTAGGTTCACACGAGTTATCAACACATTCTAGTGTGTAGTTTCCTGCACAGCGACACAGCTTTGAGCAGCCACCTCCAAATATAATTTCTCCAGGCTAGAAGAAAATTGAACAAAGGATCAAATCGGCAGGACTAGAACTACAAAGTACAACCTTCCTGTCATGTACTCTGTTATCATTATTTATTGAACAGGATTGCATGCATATGGGGTTATTAGTAAGGAAATCCAACCTCGTAATAGTTATTCTTGTCATCAAGACAGCCACATCTTTCTAGTGGCACACAGCGTCGACCCTTGAAGACAAACCCTGGTTTGCAGAAGCAGCCACTGATACAGGATCCAGAACAGTTGGTGGAGGGTTCCTTACAGGTCGGGATACAAGCTGGACCACATTCTATATACTCTGCATCAGGAGGGCATGGGTCTGTACAGCAGAAAGAAAAGCACTTGTAAGGAAAATGTGTAAGGAAGATGTAAGGAAGAAAGAAATAATTGAAGAATCTCATTAATCTAAAACTCAAAATGAAACTTCATAGGTATGCATGCTTACTTGGTTCTGGTGTTGTTGGTTTAGGTGTGGTTGGCCCGGGAGTGGTTGGCTTATGTGTGGTTGGCCCAGGAGTGGTTGGTTTGGGTGTGGTTGGAACAGGAGTTGTTGGTTTGGGTGTAGATGGGCCGGGAGTTGTTGGCTTAGGTGTGGTTGGAACAGGAGTTGTTGGTTTGGGTGTAGATGGACCGGGAGTTGTTGGCTTAGGTGTGGTTGGAACAGGAGTTGTTGGTTTGGGTGTAGATGGACCGGGAGTTGTTGGCTTAGGTGTGGTTGGAACAGGAGTTGTTGGTTTGGGTGTAGATGGGCCGGGAGTTGTTGGCTTTGGTGTGGTTGGAACAGGAGTTGTTGGTTTGGGTGTGGTTGGAACAGGAGTTGTTGGTTTGGGTGTGGTTGGTCCTGGAGTTGCTGGTTTGGGTGTGGTTGGACCAGGAGTTGTTGGTTTGGGTGTGGTAGGTCCATGAGTTGTTGGCTTGGGTGTGGTAGGTCCTGGAGTTGTTGGTTTAGGTGTGGTTGGACCAGGAGTTGATGGTTTGGGTGTGGTAGGTCCAGGAGTTGTTGGTTTAGGTGTAGTTGGACCAGGAGTTGATGGTTTGGGTGTGGTTGGACCAGGAGTTGTTACTGGTGGTTTAGGAGTTGTCGGTGGAGCTTTAAAAATAAAAATAAATGGTTTCCCATTAAACGTCCTATTTCTTATGGTGCAGAGTGTAACTTGAATTCCCTCTTGTCAGTTTCTCACCTTTGCAGACTGTGACACACACAGCATCAACAGCAATGTCCGTCTGAGTAGTTTCTCCATACGTTCCCACAATCACAAACTGAAATACATATAAATGTGACAAGAAGGTTATTGGAAATCTATGCACACACACCTAAAAAGACACACAGTAGTTAGTATTTACCTCAATGGCAGCAGATCCCAAGTACCGGACCTCTGCAGGCTTCCAGCTTTGACCCTGGTTCCCCCTGACAGTGAAGAGAGCAGGTCCAAGGCTTCCACCTGGTACATACAAGTAAACAGAATTAAGCAAGACAAAAAATGTTATGCTGTCTGTGTTTCGGTCTTATTTTAATAAATGCACCTGCCTGGGGTTTTAGTGTGGACACTGATCTCCATGGTCGTGCTGGTGCCATACAGGACGTAGTGGAAGGTGAGGTCAAGACATCCAGGGGAAGATATTACAGGACTTAGGATCTCTGACTTAGCTCCAGGGAGAGAAGATGAAGCATCCATCAACATGTAGGCACCGACTACATAGGGTTAAAAAAAGAAATGACATTTAGAGAAGGATAAAAATGTAATTAAAATCATTAATTTAATTTCTATGGACGGATACGTGCCTAAAAAGGTGTGTATGTGTATTTAAACGTTTCATGTTAAGCAAATAAAACAGATTTATTTGCCATTAATGACATTTTACAAAAAGGAGAAAAGTATGCTTATTTTATTTATTTGTACAGATGGTACATTGGCTGTTATCATGTTGGCTTAATGTTATTTAATATTAAGTACATACAATCTGGAAGAGCTTGTGACACATTCATTTCCATGCAGACTTTTGAAGACAAGAACTGCTTACATCCAGGTTTGGAGAAGTCATCATTTGGGCCGCTGCCTTCAGTGTCAGTTGGCCCAACCCACTGTTCAAAGCCATATATCTCAGGATTCACAGTGTTGGTCATCCACCCACATATCACACCAAGAGTGTCAAAATCACAGCCATAAACACAAGCTGTGAAAAAAAAAAAAAAAAAAATCAATGATAGAGCAATTTGCTTTTGAGCATATATGAGTGTGTCAGTGCGAAAGCTTACAGGGACATGCTCCTTCAGTGATGACAATGTTGTCCAGAGCTGTGTCACAGGAATCACTGAAGCCTCTCTGAGCCTCAAACACAATCTATAGTAGACACAGAGCATACATTATTAATCTACATGATGAAATTAATTCAGCAGTTGTACTTTAGGAAAAAGCTGTATATTAATTTCAGCTTTGTATTCGGAATACATTTTTTAAAATTAAATTGTGATTGAATATTGGCTAATGAAATGAGACATACTGTAGCTTTATTATGTAGTGTTTAAGCACTAATAGGTGTGTGAAATATTGGGTCATCCTTATCATGTATTGGAGGGATAGTTATACAAAGATGCAAAGTCATGCTAAAAGGAGATGGAAGATTCTAACATTTTGTCAAGATTGAACAAAAAACGTGACCTGCTAACACTCACATTGACGCTTTCACTGCTGGGTTTGGACACAGTGACGGAGCCCTTCAGCCAGGATGGACTCTGGATACCTGTCTTTTTCCATACTTCATCCTCACCGCCAGGCCTCTTGGCCAGAACTCTGAACAAATTTGTATTGTCTGAGCCGTACATGTAGTATCGGAACTGGACACAGATCTGAGAAGATGAGGAAGATGAGAGTGCGGGGCTCAGAAGACGAACTTTCTGTCCATTAGCCACATTGTCACTCTCATGGTAGATGTAGAAGCCCTCTGCAGACAGATTCAGACAGAAGGAAGATGTGTATTTATATAATGTGTCCAAATGTCCATGCTAAGGTTCTAAATCAACCCTAATCATGGTTGATTACAGGCAGTAAATATTTCATCTAAACAATGCACTCAGGACTGACCTCCGTAAGGGTAGTCTCCATTGGGGCCAGTGTTGGGGGTTGGGGTTGGACCTCTTTGTCGGGTCCAATCGCCGTTGTCTGTTCTGTCCTGAGTGAACCTGCAGAATGGTGCACTGTCCTGGTTAAAGTCACAGGAGGTCAGCTCTACTCCTGGAAATAGACAAACACAGGCAGATTGACAAATGCATACTGTAGAGGCCAATAACTTAAGAGCCATAAATGTTTTGTCATCTTCATGGTCAAGGAAAATCAGCTGTTCGATCTTATCATTGCCTTAGAGAACATAACCATACCAACAGTACCACATTCCATACCATAAGAGTTTTATTGTATAAGATTTAAGACTTTCTGCCTAATTTTCCCGTTAGAAACTTGATATTTGATGAGTAATTGGCATGTTTGTTCCTCTACCCTCACTGAGATATTCAAATCGTCAATTGGATAAACAGTTTTTTGCGGACACCATTGGTTTCCGGTCAAGGATGAAGGAGACACTTATCCTTCAAATCAGTATTAGAGGTAAATAAGGTTACATATTAAAGAGACATAAAGGGGATTCTTTTCAGACTTGAGTAGTGAGAAGAGTGAGCAACCTTAAACTTAACTTTTACAATGTTGACTTTGTTTTTCCTTTGTTAGAATGACTTTGCTGAACAAAATGTCCAAGTATTATACATGTTTGTTTGCCACAGAGCTTATTTCTACAATAGTCTAATCACAATCAGAATCAGAAACAGGTTTATTACCAGGTAGGTTGACACTTAAGAGAAATTTGACTTGGTGTTGTGGTGTATACATAAAGATAAAACAAAAATGTAAAACACAGATAGAAAACTATTTTGAGAAAACTATAATAACAGTAAGAAATTATAAAACAAATTGTAAAATATAGCAGTATTTAGGCCTACATTGAAATAGAATGGAACAAAATATTAAATATGTGCAGTAATAAAAAACGTAATGTAATGCATAGAGTCTATGATGCGGCTAATCAAATCTGTTTGGCTTTTTGCAGAAGGAACCACTGTATCTTTCGATGTGGTCTACGCATATGTGTCATCCCTGCAGCTCTATCATCAGGTTGCCGTTGTCAATCACAAGGTAGGAACCCCCTAAGGGAGACCCTGTTTTGTCCTCTTTAAGTTTCACTATATTTAAAAAAAAGAACAGGGAGGCAACGTTCACTTCTTTAGAGTTGTTGGCTTTAACTGAGGGCTGATGTTGTGAAAATGTTAACACATCTATACAGTGTAAAAGTGTTTGTTGCTTATGTATAGTGAAGATAAGAAGCTGCAAAGAGGTAAAGTCCACACCAATGCCAGGACGGTCTGGTGGAGTCACATGTAGTCATACCATCCTACCTTATGTCCACATTTTGATTAAAGATAATGATACACAGAATTTATTGTGTGATAAAAATCAACTCACCCTCTCTTTGTGTTCTCTGTAGGCTGTAAAACAGAGAAAGACATAACAGATTCACGTTAAAGTTTGGTTGAAAGCAGGTTGTTTCCTTTCATAGTGAGCCCTTACTGTAAATGTCAGGAGAGAAGATATCCAAATATTACAGATGTATTTAAAATGTGTAAATTGTAATGTAAATGTTTTTTTATTTAAACCAGGACTGAAATTAATCAAGCATTATATCAATTATCTATACATCTGAAAATTATTTCCTTGATAATTATTGTAATATTTTCTCTAATAAAATTCAGAAAATGGTGAAAAACACATTCACATTTTTCAAAGTCTAAAGTAACATCTTTAAATATCCAAAAATATTCCAATTATTGAATACAAAATCGAGAAAAGCAGGACATCTCAATATTTCAGAGGCTGGATTAATCAATTTACATTTTCCATAAAAAATACTTCAATGACTATTTGATTATTAGACTAGCTTGCGATCATTTTTTCCAATTAATGTATTTGTCATATCTGATGTGCTATGTTTGGATTGGAGACTCACCCATGCTGTGCCTGTCCTCCCGCCCTGCAGACACACATCCATAGGAGCAGAATTAGAAACCTGAATGTATCCATGGCTAACTGTTAGTTAGCAGGAGAGGAAGATAGAATGACAGAGCAGAGGCCTTTATATAAAGGGCTAGGATGTATGGGGAGGGGGGTAAGCAGGGGTGTGATGGGTGGGTAGGTGGATGCTGAATTGCTCCATTACTTGATGTCGCAAAATGTGTAAATAAGTAACTGTAGTTGATAGGGACCAGGTGTGTTCTCTTTAGGTGTGTTAGTGCTTTTTGACCTCTTAGCAGTTCACAGGCAGGGTGGGGAAGCCTATCAAACATGATATTACAAATACCAACTTGTACTGTAAGACATTATGGAGCTCCATGTGTAATAAACGGAATACTGTTATCACATAGACACACCTTATTATTACATACTTAAATATTTGTGCATTCTTTGTATGGGATGGGAACACGGTAAAGCAAGTCGATTAAATTGTATTGTAAATTAAACCACTTTTTTTCATTTTTGATTCATTAATCCTACCAATTTTCAAATTTAAATTATTGAAACACAGGTACAACATTTTTTTTTAGTTGCTGTTATTTGACTAAATAGGGTGTGTAAAAGGAGACTACCATCTTCCGTTTCGGTCTTATCGTCACGTTTGTTACACTACGTTACTTAGATACGTTGAAAACTGTTTTTTAATTTTGTTTTCCATAGCAACCAGGACAGACTCATGTTTCCATGTGCACTTTGAACTCGGGCTCAGTCCGTCACCAGCGATGCTCATTCTGCTGAGCTTTATCTGTGAAAGTGAGATTTTATTATTGCCTATAATTCAGAAAATCAGACAAGCAGTCAGTGCCTCTGCATCAGGTACAGCAAATGTGTTATCCCTGTGTCCACCTAATATCAATTCAAACACCATGACACAATTCCATCAGATTAATGATAAAAACCTAGAGGACATTATTCAACTTCTGAAATCCTCCTCCTGCTGCCTTGATATTATTCCAACAGGATTTTTCAAAGATGTTTTTCATTGCATGGCCTCAGATCTACTTCACATACAGTAGTAAACAAGTCTCTTTACTCAGGTTTTTTTCCATAGGCCCTGAAAACTGCAGTCACTAAACCGCTCTTAAAAAAGAATAATCTAGATGCTTCAGTAATGAACAACTACAGGCCCATATCAAACCTGCCATTTCTAGGTAAAATCATTGAAAAAGTTGTTTTTCAACAGTTGAGTAATTACTTACATTTAAATAACTGTTTTGATGTGTTCAGAACAGGCTTTCGACCAAACCACAGCACTGTAAAGTTCTTGTAAGGATCTTCAATGACATCCACTTAAACACAGACAGTGGCAGAACTTCAGTGTTAGTATTATTAGATCTCAGTGCTACGTTTGACACTGTTGACCACAACATATTACTAGACCGACTAGAAAACTGGGTGGGACTTTCGGCAACAGTTCTAAATTGGTTTGAATCCTACTTAAAGGACAGGAAAAACTTTGTTTCTATAGGTAAATACACATCCGAGTTGACAAATGTGACATGTGGGGTACCTCAAGGCTCCATCTTGGGGCCTCTTCTCTTTAACATCTACATGCTACCACTGGCTCAGATAATGAAAAACAACAAAATAAGTTACCATAGCTATTCGGATCATGACACACAAATTTACATAACCATTTCACCAGGAGACTATGCTCCAATTCAAACACTGAGTAAGTGCATTGAGCAAATCAATGACTGGATGTGTCAGAACTTTATCCAATTAAACAAAGATAAAACTGATGTAATGGTTTTTGGAGCCAAGGCAGAACGTATAAAAGTTAGCGCTGAGCTTCAGTCTGCAATGTTCAAAACAACAGATAAAGCCAGAAATCTAGGTGTAGTCCTGAGTTTCAACAGTCACATTACAACAATTACTAAATCAGCCTACTATCACCTAAAGAATATTTCTAGGATTAAAAGACTAATGTCACAGCAGGATTTGGAAAAACTTGTCAATGCTTTTAGACTGGACTACTGTAATGGTGTCTTTACAGGTCTCACTAAAAAATATATTAGAAAGCTGCAGCTTATTCAGAACGCTGCTGCTCGAGTCCTCACTAACACTAAGAAAGTGGATCACATCATTCCAGTTCTGAAGTCTTTACACTGGCTTCCTGTGTGTCAAAGAATTGATTTCAAAATATTGTTGCTGGTTTATAAAGCTTTGAATGGTTTAGGCCCAAAATACATTTCTGATCTACTGCTAAATTATGAACCATCCAGAACTATCAGGTCTTCAGGGACTGGTCAGCTTTCTGTCCCCAGAGTCAGAACTAAACATGGAGAAGCAGCGTTCAGTTATTATGCTCTAAATATCTGGAACAAACTCCCAGAAACCTGCCGGTCCGCTGCAACTCTTATTACTTTTAAATCCAGGCTGAAGACTTTTCTTTTTGCCACTGTTTTTAATTGAACTATTCACATCTTAAACTGCACTGTAACTTTAATCCATGTATTTTTTTTATCTTTGCTTTGACTGTTTTTAAATGCCATTTTCTTAATGTCTTTCATTTTTTGTAAAGCACTTTCAATTTCCTTGTGTTGAAAGGTGCTATATAAATAAACGTGCCTTGCCTTGCCTATAAGAACAATACCATTTTCCATACTATATATGTTTTGCTGCATAATATTTTAGACTTTGTTATTATTATTAAGTAACTTAAGTTATTATTAACCGGAAGAGTGTGTATTGTGTTTGCCTTGATAGCAAAATGTGCTCTTGGAGACAAAGCAGTTTCGAGTCCTTTTCCAGTTGATACCAATATTTCAATGAGATAGTGTCACAACCGTGAAAGATGCAGTCATGACATGTTATAGGTGTTAAGTTGAGGAAGGTAGAAGTTGAATATGGTACTTGTAATCGGGCCCATGACCAATTGGCCCTACCACGTAATGCCCTTCTTAATGCCCTGGCCCAAGTTGGTGTCACAAAATTTAAAGGTGTGTGGTTAGGTTCAAAATGAAGGCTAATATTGAAGATGGGTGTGCGCCAGGCAAGTAGCGGGTTGGAACTGGGGAAAGGGCCATTGAACGACACTTTACACCATTTGGCTTTGCGGCTGGGTCAAATCGCGTTATGGTTCCAACTTCCCTCACAAATACTTGCCACAAAATAGGTACATTGACCAAGACTTTACACTACAAACAGAACGTAAACTACACTTCCTTAAGTTCTATTCGTTCACGGGATAAAAAGAAAGCCTAGACCCTGAGAGACTGGGCCATTGGGGCAGTTTGAAACCCAGGCTTGGGACTCAGTAGAGTTTAGCCAGTGTACAAAGGGTGTGTATAAAGAGGAAATTCTTTCTTTTTCAGTTCCCCCCTCTTTTAATGGTTTAACTTTCTTGGAGCCACGCGTAACAAATGACAAGCAGTCACACAAGTCCATTCTTTATGTTATGTTTGAAGTATGAGCACACAGCTCTTTTGATTAATGATAGCATTTTTTACTATTTGCTTACATTAAATGTACCGGCCAACTAAGAATTATAATAAAATATGACTGTGCTGTACTGTACTGTACGTCTAAATAAGGTAAAGTGAGTGAAATAGTTGAAACAATACATAGGTAGTTGTGTTTTACTTGTCAGAGCAGCATGTAAAAAGGAAAGATGGACCGCAGCTGTTTTGTATGTGGTGATTCACATTCATAAAAACGTCATTTACGAGTCAGATATCTATATGTGTGTGTGGAAGTCCCTTTCTGGGAAAGATACTGAGGCAGAAGGAAACTCCTCCAACGTGAGAAGTATTGGTTCTTATCATGACTGAGCGAATTCTGTGATCTTTCTTAGGGGTGGGGCTGCAGTATTCATTTCAGAGACTAGTTGGGCCCATACCTACTGTATATATTTTACAGATTATTAACCTTTTCTTAGCTGATGTTGTTTGGAGTGAAGTGACTGTTGTTCTTTTATACTTGGGCAACAAGCCTGTTGTCAAAAGGAAACCTTTGTGTCAGTAATACATGGAATATTATTCTGTCAAATATTGTAATTATTGTTATGTACTGCTTGTTATTTTATTGCCTGAATTTGCTCCTGGATGATATAAATTAATGACATGATTGGTTAAATTGTTGTAATCTCCAAACAGTAAATGGCCCAGTAAATAAACTGTATTTGGCCTAAAACTCAAGAACTTAAGATGTTTACAACTTTAATAAGGCAAGGCTGCTGTTACAGTAAAACAGTTACAGTAACAGTAATAAGGACACAGAACAGTCTTTCAAGTTTTAACACAAATATTTTTATTACATGGCTTGAATACTCTATTCTTATTGGTCATCTTGGACATTTTAGAGGTTGTTAATACTCTGCTAACACACCGCTGCTAAGGAAACATGACTGTTACTAAGGAGGATCAAGGGACTATGTGCAGTCACATCAATCCATTTATTCAGAAAGAGCTGATACATTCACAATATACAAATAGAATCAACGTAATGTACCTAATCTGTCTACCATAGGTTCATATGTCAACATTCTACAAAGGCTATAGGGAAATTATTCTTTTAGTTGTTTGCAAAATATAGATATATGGAAACACCCTGAGGGAGTGCCAATCAGGTCACAAAACACTGATCTTTGTACCAACATACAATACACAAACTGGGTGTGCCTCAAAAGTCCTACATGAGTGCTTTACCAAAGTGCAAGTGGATGTGAAAATGCCTTAAAATGTAAAGGTCAAGGCTCCAGCTTAATGACAACATAATAAAGAGAGAGAGGGTGTAGCAATACTGCAAGTCAGTTTGGGTACAGGGCCTTGTTGATAAGGCCTAATGAAATTGAGAAGAAGCATTTTGTCCCCACCAGAGTTCAGCCAATGAGGGTGTTGTCAATGAACTTCCACTGACTGGTGACTGAGTGCAGCTAGAAAATGAATTCTATATCATTCTTAAAATGTGTTAGGTGACCAAAAGAGTCCATAGTTGA